AGACTCCTGGGCTCAAGCGATCCTTCCTGCCTCGCCTCCCAAGTAGCTGGGAACCTGCAGGCATGACCCACCATGCCGGTAATTTTCATATATTTTTAGTTGTCCAGTAATTTTTTTCTTTTTAGTTAGAGGACGGCAGGAGGTCCTCATGTGAGGGGTCGCCTGCACAGGCTAACTCCCTCTGCTCATCACATTTTTCGAACTCTGACTGCGATCTCTGGCCCTGGATCCTTCTGGCTAGGTCGTACTTGAGCAGCAGCTCCTTCACAGATGCTTGGTCCTCGGTTGGCCTAGTTTCTTCATTTCAAAATGATGACGGCGGAGGCCACCGCGCCGGCGGTGTATTGATGTAAGGTTTGTGACTAATGTGCATGCACTAACAGTAGGTGTGCAGTAAGAGCCCTGCAATCAGAGGATGCCATATTACGGGCATGGGTATAGAATAGATGTGGGTGCTGAAGGAGGTGGGAGCCGCAGGATCGTACACTTACTGGTGTGTGATCGGCCAGCACGCACGCGCCTTCACGTCTCTGGTTGGTTTCCCTTGTGAATGGGAGATCCCTGATGCCATCGCCTTGGCCCAGAACTGCACAAGAGCCCACCAGCGGTCTCGGTAGAGGTGCAGCCACAGAGCTCTTGCTTGCGCGGATTGGCCCCGCGAAACATGGTCGAGCCACGGGGAAATGAGAGCAGGAGCAGCCGTTGGTGCGTGTGGCTTGTATGCTAGACCCGAGGGGTCGATCCGCCCTGGCCTTGCTTCGGTGAGTGTGGTGTGGGCCGCCCTCCCCACGCAGCAGCTCTTGGGAGGGGGTGCACGTTGGGTGCCGGGCACTGGGCCACGGACGTGCCTCCGTGCGGCTGTGTGCGCTGGTCGTGGCATGCGTTGCCAAGCGTCGCAGGAGCGCACGTGCGCTGTCTCGGCGCGTGTCGGGCCTCCCGCCTGGGCGCGGCTCTGTGCGTGCGCGTGGGGTGTAGAGCGCGTTGTTACTCACTCGGACTAGCGCATTGTTTGTCCTGCCGTTATGCCGCGTCAGGCCGCCCGCCGACTCTGCTGTCCCCCGCCGAAGCTTGTGGTCCTGAGGGTCGCCAACTGGGGCCAGGAGGGTGGTAACTCTGCTCGGGTCGTCGGTCCCTCTGTCGCCGCAGCCTCCGCCTGTGCCCACCCGACGGTGCTTCCCGAGAGCGGGGACGGGCGCCCCTCTTGTCCGCCTGCCGCACGACCCGTCCTGGCCCGACCCGGCGCCTTGCGCGGCAACTCCTCGCCGCGGCTCCGACGCGTCCCGACCTGATCCGAGGTTGCTGTGAGCGAGGCTGACGCCACGGCACTCACTCTAGCCCAGGCAACAGAGTGAGACTCTGTCTCAAAAACATAAAATAAAATTTAAAATCTCCATTAAAAACAGCAATATAGGGGAGTGACCCAGCAACTGGGCTCTTTAAGAAGCTGCAGAATCTCAGCCGAGCCCAGGGCCGTGTGGACGCGGAGGTGGGCATCGCCATGGAAGGACGGGGCAGCGGTTTGTGCGCACACGTTTGCTCGCACACACACCTGCACCTGCACACACACTCCATGCCCTGTCCCTGGACAATCACCTTGTCGTTGGTTCTGTGGTTCTGAGGGCCTTTTGTCAGGACATCTACCTCCTGGCCACGACCCCCAGCTGACCCTCCTGCCCCGGGCACACAGACACACGCATGCACACACACACATACACACACACACACACGCCCAGACACCGGAGTCCGGGCCCTCAGTGAGACGAGGCCCTCATTACCTTTTCTAATCCCTTGCCATGTTTTCTCAAGAGGTTGCCCTGCAGAGACAATGTCACAGGGTGATCAACCTGGTCAGCCGAGCCAGGTGGGAGCCCGGGACGCTCACAGGTATATTCATGGGGTTGGCGAGTCTGCCTTGCACGGGGGGCTGGTGATTGGGTTCGGGGGGGGGGTTGTGTGTGTGTGCTTTAATGACAGACTCTTAAATGGTGTCAGAGTCAGAGAGAGACAGAGACGGAGACAGAGAGAAGCAGAGCTAGGAAGGAAGGAAGTCACTGCCAAAATATAACCCATTTACATTTACTGTACACATGATGCTCTAGGTTCTTGGGTTAACAGGAAGCAAACGGGCTCCCTGTCCAGACAGACCTGAGTTTGAATCCTGACTCTGGCATATGTATTTACTATAAGACCTTGAGCAAGTGGCTCCTCTCCGAGTCCCAGCTTTCCTCATCTGCAAAACGGGAATAATCGTACCCACTTCCCTCAAAGCGTTGTCGTGAAACAGCCGCTAGGAGGTCAGGCGCACAGAGAGCACCAGGAAATTCCAATTCCCTTATCTCCCTGCCTACGAGTGCGTTTGCCTGTGGTCGAGTACGCTGCCACCAGGTGGTTACAGCCAAAGACAAAGGCTGCAGCCCCTGAGACGTGAGATGAACACTTGGAAACTTTCGCCAGAGTGAAATCTTGGTAACAGCCTTGTCTCACCCACAAAGCAGGGGGTATCTAAAGCGGGTCTGTCTCTGCCCTAGCCCATGTCCGCAGACTCCCAGCCCCGCCAGCAACCTCAGGTCTGACCTAGCAAGCACTGCTCCGGGCTGTCACTCAGATGAGCGCTTTAGTGCACCGCGCCGTCTGGTTCTGACAACCAGTCCTCAGAGAATGGCTGCAGGGAACCCCATTTGCGAGAGGAAGCAGAAGTTTGGAGGTGAAGTGACTTCCGAAAGGTCACAGAGAGAGAGAGAGAGTGGCCGGGCTAGGATTTGACCCCAAGTCTGCCTGACACCAGAGCCAGCACGCCACCCTTCTCCACCTGCGCACCTGGGCGCGGGTCTGCGCGTGTGCGGCGGGGGCGGGGGGGCGGGGGGCGGGCAGGGCGGCGGAAGACAGAGGGACGAGGAGCTTGGAATCTGGGGTTGGGGGGGGCTCGGAAGTGGGGTCCCGCGCTGAGCAGCCGAGGAGGGGCCCGCACGGCGGCGGCGCGGACCTGCGCTCCGGAAGGCTGCTAGCGGTTTGGAGGCCGGACGGGGAGGTCAGAGGGCCCCTCTTGGCTTTGAACCTCTTTCTAGCTGCAGGGAGAGACGCAGACATCCCGGCGGCGGCGGCGGGGGAGTCGGGGCAGGGGAGCAGGGGTGCGCGCTAACCGCAGGGCCAGGGCGGATGCGAGGGGCGAGCGGGGGCCCAGGGGGCGGCGCCTCCTCGGACTCCCGCGGGACAGGGCTGCTGGGCGTGGCCTCCCTCCCGCCCCGCCCCTGCCCCGCCCCCGCCCCGCCCCAGACAGACACAGGCACATCTAGGCGGAGGTGGCGCGGCGGGGGAGGGGGGCGCGCCGGGTGGGGGAGGGGGGTGCAGCCACGGGGCGGGCCGAGTCCAGACACAGAGCGGACGGACAGACAGACGGACAGGCGGGCCTCTACTTACGATCATCTGCCAGCCGTGATGGGGGCGGGGCGGTGGGGGAGGGGGGAATAAGTCACCGTGAGTGTCCGGGAAGGCCGGGGCGGGGACGGCGCCCAGGGGCAGACCCCTGCCCTAGCCCGGTCCAGCGCAGGGGGCAGGCTGGGCAGCCCGGGCCTCCCCCAAATAGTCGCCTCTCTGGGGCTGCTGCCCACCCTCCCCCAGGCCCCCCGGGGCCGCCCGGAGCGCTGCGCCCGGAACCCGCGTGCTCAGGGGCCTGGCGCCTCCTGGACGGACCCACGCCGCCCACCCCCACCAAACAGCCGGAGCCCTGGGGCGCCCGGGGGCTGCGGTCCCTCATCTCTTCCCAGAAGGGTCCTGGGTCTCCGGTGACCACTGAGCTCTGACCCATGCGTGACCTCTCTGTCCCTTAGACCCCTCTTGACTCTATTTGACCTCTTTGACCTTGGAATAGCCCCAGCCGACCCTCGGATGTCCCCTCTGAGCCTTTGATCATTCTTGGCCCGCACCTGGCTTCTCAGATCCGGGAACCTGAGAGCCCCGCTGGCCTCTGGCGGCTCCAACCGCCCTTGCGCCCGGATGACCTCTTTGACCCCTGGTGCCTGTGTTCTCGGCCCCGCCCCCCAGCCTCTGGGCACCATGCCGCGCCCCGTGGGCTCCCACCGGGGAGGTGGCACCGCGTCCCCCCGGCCCCCTCCGGGCCTCACCGTCTGGTCCGTGAGGGGCGGCAGCACGATGGTCTTCTCCATGGTGTTCATGACCAGCTTCCACAGCTCCTTCAGCACGCGCTTCAGCACCGTCTTCTCACAGATTTTGGCGAAGAGAGTGAGGCTGGGGGGGGAGGGGCGGGCCTGAGGGGGGGCCGAGCCGCCCGACCCCCAGAGCCCCTCCCCCTCCACAGCTGGGCAAGGCGGGAAGGCGTTTCCTGGCCAGGCCAGAGGGCACGCGGCCTGCTCAGGGACCCCCTGGGTGGGGGGCTGAAGGGACAACGAGGCATGATGTGGGTGGCTGGACAGGTCAGCAGGGGCCAGACTGGAAGGAGCTTCAACGTCTGGCCACCCACGAGGAAGGCTCAGGCCTTATTGTGAGGATGGGGACAGTAGGGAGCCATCGAGTGTTCAAGAGAAAGAGAGAGACAGAGAGACAGAGAGATAGACCTTTACGTTGGAAAGAACAGTGTGGTGGATGAACCAGAACAGGAAGTCTGGAGACTGGGACTATGAGGGGCTAAGATCATGCCCAGGAGGAAGAGGTGGGGAATGGTCAGAGGAGGGCAGGCTTGAGATAGAAACCAGCAAAGAATTTGTGACTGGATGTAAGGGGTTGAAGGAGAGAGGCCGTCCACCATGATCCATCTACCAAATGGCCCAGTCATCACCAAACTACCCTTCCTCCAACTTTCTTTAATTCTCTCTCCGTCTCTATCTAACCATCCATCCATCCATCCATCCATCCATCCATCCATCCATCCATCAATCTATCCTCCCAGGCCTCCTTCCACTCATTCAACTGTCCATCTACCCATCATTCCATCCACCCACCCATCTATCCAACCATCCATCTAAGCAACCATCCACCCATCCATCCACCCAACCATCCACCCATCCACCCACCCATCTACCCATCCATCCACCCATCTACTCATCCATCCACCCATCCATCCACCCATCTATCCATCCATCCAACCATCCATCCATCCATCCAACCAACCATCCAACCACCCATCCAACCATCCATCTATCCATCCAACTATCCATCTATCCATCCATCCACCCACCCATCCAACCATCTATCCATCTATCTATCCAACCATCCATCCATTCATCCATCTACCCATCCATCTATCCATCCAACTATCCATCTATCCATCCATCCACCCACCCATCCAACCATCTATCCATCTATCCATCCAACCATCCATCCATTCATTCATCTACCCATCCAACCAACCATCCATCCATCCACTCACTCATCCAACCATCTATCCATCCATCCATCTACCCACCCATCCAACCATCCATCCATCCATCCATCCACCCATCAAACCAACCATCCATCCATCCAACCATCCATCCATCTATCCATCCACTCACTCATCCAACCATCTATCCATCTATCCATCCATCCATCCACCCACCCATGCAAGCAACCATCCATCCATCCATCCATCCACCCATCCAAACATCCATCCATTGATCTAACCATCCATCCATCCACTCACCCACCCATCCAACCATCTATCTATCCATCCATCCATCCAACCATCCATCCATCCATCCAACCATCCATCCATCCATCCAACCATCTATCCATCTATCCATCCATCTACCCACCTATCTACCCATCCAACCAACCATCCATCCATCCATCCATCCAAACATCCATCCATTGATGTAACCATCCATCCATCCA